TGCTAGATTTACAAAGGCCTATTCACACTACTACCAAAATGCAAAAATCAATGGTAGATTTCTTGTATGTTATGATTATAAAAATTAAGTTCTTCACTTCTTGTAGAAATGTCAAAATAATTTAATTTTGGTTCGAAACTTTCTTGCTAATCGTGAAGAAAACTGAGCCACCACACACACCGAAAGACATTTTCTTCTTATAGTTCGCCATGTTTTGATTTTTTCTCTGTTTCGTTTGACCTTTTTTTTTAATAATCTTAAAACTTAAATAATTCTGGAAAAACAAAATAAAAGCTTGTTACACAAATCACAAACTGATTAATCTCCAAAATTAGTAGAACAAAATCGAAACTAAAATTTCCTCAGATCTCTCAACGATAAGCTCAAGACTGACGACGACGGTCATCAGATCGGAGAAACATGTCGAGCGATAGCAACGATCTAGACGAAGATGAGCTTCTTCAAATGGCGTTGAAGGAGCAAGCTCAAAGAGATCTCACCTATCAGAAACCTCCTTCTTCCTCAGCGAATCGAAAGCCTGTTGCTAATTTAGTGCAGCAGCCTCGTCAGCAGAAACCGGTGGCTTCCGCTCCGTCTAAGAAACCTGCGGCGGTTAGGAAACCTTCCATGGATGAGGACGATGAGTCGGAGGTTGAATTGCTTAGTATTTCGAGCGGTGATGATGATTTGGAAAGGGAAAAGGAAAGAGGTAGTTCCGCTGGTGGTGGTCCGGGGAAAGGAAGAGGAAGCGATGTTCGAGAGAAGGGAAGACCGAGGAAGGAAGATGATGGAGCTTGGGATGGAGAGGAGCCCGATTGTTGGAAACGGGTTAATGAAGCTGAGGTACGTATCTCTGGATTCATACTATCTGGAATTTGTGCTTGTTACATTGTTTGCTAAGGGATAATTTGATTGTTCGACCAATTTGAAGTGTTTCTTAATCAATTTGTTGAACAAATACCATTCGTGGAATACTGTGAATGATATCCTTAGTTTCCAGAGTGGAGTTGATGTAGAGAGCCATTTGTGATGTAAGATTTTAGAACTGTGACATTGTGTGGATTTGATTTGGGGAAAATGTCCATTTCACTTTAATTCCGACGACATTTTGGCAGCTTGCTCGTAGAGTTCGTGATATGCGGGAATCGAGGACCGCACCTGTGGTTCAGAAATTAGAGGGTAAGGTAACTGCACCTGGCAAGAAAGCGGTTCTGACTAGTTTGCAATCACTCCCTCGTGGCATGGAGTGTATTGATCCACTAAAATTAGGGTAATTGCTTACCTTGAAAGCCAGTCAGATACCTTTACGCTCAGACTTTGATATATTAGAACTGTCTAAACCTGAATTTGTGTACTTCATAGGATAATAGACAACAAGACACTGAGATTAATCACTGAGTCGTCAGGCAGCCCATCAAAAGCTGAGAAAGTGGATAATACTCTTCGGGGTATGTCTTTCTTCACCATACCTACAACACGAGTTGAATAATATCCCTTACAACAACATTTGATATTTCGAAGGGCTTATTCTACGTACAGTTTCCAGATGACTAAATGTTATTTATTATCTTCTGAGTATTTGCAGAAAAGTTGATTTACTTCTCTGATCATTTCGATCCGAAGCTGTTTCTTTCTCGCATTCACCAAGACACGAGTGCAGCAGATTTGGAGGCTGGTGCCCTTGGCCTGAAAAGTGACTTGAAGGGTCGGAATCTGCAGAGGAAACAATTGGTAAAGGACAATTTTGACTGCTTCGTCTCATGTAAAACTACTATTGATGGTATGTATCATTGCTCTCAACTGAATTATATATGGTGTTCTTCTCTCATGTTCATGTAGAACACTGTTTTTCTTAATAGATATTGAGTCAAAACTGAAGCGGATTGAAGAAGACCCTGAAGGATCAGGAACTACTCATTTGTTCAATTGTATGAAAAGTGTGACATCAAGGGCCAATCTTGCATTCGAGCCTCTTTTTGAAAGACAGGTTGGTGTGGTATGATTTGTTTTTTTTTTGCTGTCACTCTCTTTCAATTTTCTGAAGCCTTTTGAACAATCATTTTTTAGGCTCAAGCTGAGAAAATCAGGTCTGTGCAAGGAATGCTTCAGAGATTCCGGACACTCTTCAATTTACCCAGTATCATTCGTAGCAGTATTAGCAAGGGTGAATATGACTTGGCTGTTCGAGAATACAAGAAGGCGAAATCTATTGCTCTCCCTTCTCATGTATGCCTGCATTTTCAATTATACTCTTTTGACACAGAGGCTATCCACTTTCCTATAAGCACTGAATCTTCTTTTAATTACACTTTAATTTAGTTACATAGCAATGCCCTTGACAACATAGAAAAACAAACTGCTTTCAGGTAAATATACTCAAGCGTGTACTCGAGGAGGTTGAGAAAGTTATGCTGGAATTTAAAGGCACACTTTACAAGTCTATGGAAGATCCAAAGATAGACTTTACAAGTGTATGTCAGTTACTATTCATTTTATTCTAAATGTTAACTAGTGGTTGAACTGAACAATCCGTCATTCAAATATTCACAAATTATATTTATCATAATACTGCTATCATGACAATAATTCAGTCTCTTGCTTATCTGCAATCATCAATTTTTGATTCTGTTAAAGATTACCCTTTTAAGTTGTTCCAGTTGTACATGAAAATTACTAAATTTTTGTCATTGGTTATATATCCATTAACTTTATTTTCTGCATAGTGATTCTTCATTGTTACCATGTGTACAACTACATTGAATTCTTTCGTACTTCCTCTTGGAATTTTTGAGAAACCAGGCTTGACACTATCCAGTCTATTTTTCTGTCCTGATACTGAAGTCTATTTGCTTAATGTAGCTGGAAAACACTGTAAGACTTTTGCTGGAGCTGGAACCCGAATCTGATCCTGTGTGGCATTATCTAAATGTTCAGGTCAGTATATTCGAAGATTTCACTCTTTTACTACTCTCTTGCTATGTTTCTTGTAGTATTTGGGCTCCTAAGATATTTGCTTTGAGTATCAGAGTGACTTTTAGCTTATGAAATCATTCTTTTGTTTCCATAAGGTACCTCTATAGATGGGTGGAAAACACATTTATATTTAACTTATGTGTGTGTTTGTGACTCCCACACTTTTGTTGCATTCATTGTGCACCTCCATAAGGTAATCTTGCTTGGCTCTTTAATTTACCAGAATGAAAGGATCCATGGCTTGCTTGAGAAGTGTACATATGATCATGAAGCAAGGGTGGAAATTTTGCGTAAAGAGACTCATGAGAGAGCCATCTCAGATGCGAAGTGGCAACAAATTCAACAAAATGCCGTTCCATATGTGAGTCCAATCATTGAGAATAGCTATATATCATTAGAAGAGTACGCAAGACTCGGTTCTATAGATAGTAACATGCGTTTTTCCCAAACTTTAGTCAGATGCTGCCTCTTCTAATGAAAATAATGAAGTTCAAGTTGACCTACAATCACTGGAGTTTCCCAGCGAAGAGATTGATGCTTTGAAGGGGAGATACATCAAAAGATTGACTGCTGTGCTTGTGCATCATATCCCTGTGTTTTGGAAAACAGCTATATCAATTTTCACTGGAAAATTTGCCAAGGTATCGGCTATTATCTCTTTCTTGAATTGGAGATAGTTCTTCATTTAGATTTGAATTTTAATTCTTATCTGTCCAGTCCTCCCAAGTTACTGATACTTCAGCCAATAAAGCGGAGGAGAAGGTCACGGAGGCAAGGTATTCAACTCATTCTTTGGAAGAAGTTGCTGCGATGATACGCAAGACGATTTCTGTCTATGAAGGAAAGGTGGTATCTTTGTTTCTTTTTCTTATTAAGTGACCTTTTCAATGGAGCATCTTTCCACATTGGAAGGATAAACCCCGTGGTATCTGTGCCATTAAGTGGTTCTAAATATTTTCTTTTCCTGATTACTACTGTTGTAGGTGCACAGCACATTTTGTGATTTTGATGAATCATGCATTCTCCGCCCATTTATGAGTGATGCCATCAAGGAAGTCTCAAAAGCATGCCAAGCTTTTGAAGCCAAAGAGTCAGCGCCCCACAGTGCTGGTATTTGGACTTCTTCTGACGCTTGAGCTTGTTGTTTTATATAAACTATACTGAGATGCCGTGTATGCTTTTCGGTTTTGGCAGTCGTTGCACTAAGAAAAGTCCAGGCGGAAATCACTAAAATTTATATCCAAAGGCTTTGCTCTTGGATGAGGGCATCCACAGAAGCAATATCAAAAGAGGAGATGTGGATCCCGGTTTCTATTCTCGAAAGGAATAGATCTCCTTATGCCATCTCTTACTTGCCTCTTGCATTCCGTTCAGTTATTGTCTCCGGGATGGAACAAATCAATCTGTAAGTTTCAAAACATTGCATTGCCTGGTTTACTAAAGACTGAGTGGGCATTATTTCTCTTCATTTATTTTCGTGGAAGTGGATATGTATAGACCCAGTTTTTGCTATTTTATTGTGTTTGGAGTTCCAGACATCTATATTTCCAGTACAATACGTCAGGGTCTAGTCTTCTCCCTGCACATTAAGAAAACGAAATCCCAATAGTCACTAGTTGTGGTTCTAACGTGTCCATAATTACCAATTCTATACTGTGGCATGTGAAATATATTGACTCGTGTACCATGTGATATGTTGGGAAATGGGCCTTATATGTTTTTCTTTGCTATTTTGAGAACTCCATTTTGAAATGTGTACTTACTTTGTTTACTTCGTTTAAATTTTAATTTCTGTGTATACCTTTTTCAGGATGATTTTGTCTGTAAAAGGTGAAGCTGCTAAATCAGAAGATATGTTTGCCCAGATTGAGGAAATCCTGATATCTGTTAGACTGGCTTTTTTGAACTGCTTTCTGGATTTTGCTGGTACGACTTTTCACCAAACTTCCTTGATAATATCCAAATGCAGATGCCAGCATACTTACATAGATGCATGCAAATGTACAAACTATACAGTAGTTAAGTTTATGTGCTGATTTGTTTTCACCATGTATCAGCACACTTGGAGCAAATTGGTGCTGATCTTTCCCAAAGCACCTCAAAACAAGAAAATTGGAAAAACGGATATTCTGATGATCATCAGGAAGTACCTTCAGCCAATGCCTATGGAAGTGTTGTTGATCCTCACAGGCGGTTGTTGATGGTCTTAAGTAATATTGGTTATTGCAAAGATGAACTTGCTTCCGAGCTTTACAAGAAGTTCAAATATACCTGGTTGCAGTCTAGGTTGGTCCTTGCTTAGTTGACGTCATTAGTGCTTTTTATGAACATCAATAATTACGTACCTCTTCTCTAAGTGGTAGACAAGTTTAGATAATCATTCATGGTTAAATGACTCGAATTTGATAATAAGTACCAATGGTTGAATTCAATTTGTTTCATATTCAATACTGCTCCCCATGGGTAAATTTGGATATGGCTCACTAGGGTAAGACTTGATTTGTAGTTTCACCTTTTCAGGGACAAAGACGAAGACAGCAGCGATCTTCAAGATCTAATAATGTCTTTCTCTGGTCTTGGAGAGAAGGTCCTCGAGCATTACACTTTTGCTAAGGTATCGTTTGTTCGTCTGGGTTAGTTGAAGAGTTCTTTTCCGTAGTATAAGAAAAAGAACTGAATTTTTGAGAATTTTACTTGTACTCAGGCAAATTTGATCAGAACAGCTGCGACAAATTATTTGCTGGACTCTGGTATCCAATGGGGATCAGCACCTCAAGTGAAAGTAAGAAGCGATAACTATTAGCCTCCTGACTTGTTATGAAGAAATAGTTACCTGAATATTTGCTCCAATCTTTCAGGGCATACGAGATGCTGCTGTTGAGCTCTTACACACTCTAGTAGCTGTCCATGCAGAGGTGAATACTATTGCTCTTTAGAGTCAGTTTTTACTGATGATTATTGATTCTTTAGACATATGAATTATAATGTGATTCATACTACGCGACAAGAGAGTGTTTGTAAATAATTTTGTTCTGAAACCTAAAACCGCAGGTCTTTGCGGGTGCCAAACCCCTGCTAGACAAGATTCTTGGTGTTCTGATAGAAGGTCTAATCGACACTTTCCTCAGTCTTGTGGAAGAAAACAGATCAGATGATCTGAGATTAATTGATGCAAATGGTTTCTGTCAACTAATGTTTGAGGTAAGTGCCTTGTTCTTTTCACCATAAGAGATCCTGACTAACCAAACTGAATTCAAACCGATGAAAATGAACGAGAAACAAAGCTAAAAAAGTGGCTACTACCTTACAGAACCAGAAAAAGCTTTGTAGATTTATATGATTTTGCTAACTATGTTTTTCACAACTGCTGCAGCTTGAATATTTTGAGACAGTACTGAATCCATATTTTACAAGCGATGCGACCGCGTCTCTTAAATCTCTACAAGGAACTGTTTTGGAGATAGCTATAGAGAGCATCAGTGAAGCAGTTGATACAACCCCAGGGCATAATCGCAGACCAACTCGTGGCAGCGAAGACACAGTTTCAGATGACAAACAAGGATCATCTGTTTCCGCCGATGACCTCCTCGTAAAATCTCTTTTCCTTCTTCTTTCCCAACAACATTTAATCAAAACTTCAATCGTAAATCCTTTTTGTTTGGTGAACAGGCTTTGACGAAGCAGTGTTCAAGCGAATTGCTACAAACAGAGTTGGAGAGAACTCGTGTGAACACAGCATGCTTCGCGGAGTCAACCCCGTTAGAGCCAACGGCTCCATTACCCAGAGCTTCTTACTCTTCCTTCAAAGGATCAATGGATTCTCCAAGCAGAAACTACAGAGGCTCACAGTCATCTGGTTCTCCAATACAATCCCGACCTAGACGAAGATAAACAAAACACCAAGTTTGTTCTTTTTTCGAGTTTTACAATGCCTCGTTTTTGTTGTACCTAAAATGATCACCAA